GGCCCACCGTGGGTCTTAGGGGGAAATCTTAACGAGGGGATAACCGTTCAGTGGCCGGTACAACTCACATCAAAGGCTCCACATGCACACTTTTATCATACCACAATTAAACAATACAGTAATAACATTTACAGCATAGCCAATTTTCAAATAAAACCCATCTGGTGTCGAATGATAAAGCAAATAACCGAAAAGTCGTAGGTAGTTGAGACACTACTCGTCAGACACCTACATAAGTCAAGACAGTCCCATAAGCAACTATCTCAACTCTTACACAAATAACGAGAATTATACTTAGTCGAATCACATCGACTAAGAAACTCGTGGAAGTTGTGGAGTTGGAACATTAGGACGACATCTAGACTTGACCAACCAACTAATAAATCATATAAAAGCAGGCAACGAAGATTTGACACAAAAATGGGGTCAACAAGTCAAGGGTTTGCCATCAAGGCCAACCGGTGCAAAAAAAAGGTTAAAAATGTCTAGTTCTTTTTTTTTCGAAACGATAAAGGAACTATATATCAAAGCGCACAACTGTGCAAAAAAAGTAGCCCACAGCTGAGTATTACAACCAGGAACTAGAAACTGGGAGGACGGGTCGAAAGACCGCCTAGAGCCTCGCTAGCCACGCTAGAAGAGGAAACACACAACACACAACTAAAAGACAGCAACACAACTAGGATCGCTCCCCACGGGAGAATAGGATCATCCCCTACGGGGTAATCAGCACATAGGACAATGGCCCAGACCAAAGAGACAATACAAAAACACTCCGGCAAAGAGCCCAGACCAAAAACACTATACTAAACAGACTCAAGCTACGACAAAAACAAAACTAAATAAAACGGGAACCCTTCCCACAGCAGAAACCACATCGAGCACAACAGCGGTAAAGATTCGGCCCAGGATCCAGACCCAGAAACTGCAAGAGAACGCCTAACTGAATCAAGAGCCGGTGGACCAAAACTTCATTTAGACGAACAATTCCACCCGCACCCAGAGAAGAAGACACCAGACCAACATCCCAACCCAGACCGACCCAGCTCTGCCCCGACCGAAGCAACTCAGACCAGCCCAAACCTGCCGGAAGAAGCCCGGCTGAGCCCATCCCAGTCAAACCCAAGTCAGCCCAGCCAGCACATAAGCTCCGCCAAACAAACTCAGCAACCGCGACTCCAAAGCCCCACACACCCGATCGGCGACCATAAGGCCAAGAATCCACGACCACCTTGCAATCGCAGACCACCAACTCTGCCCCAGAACCGGGAGAGCCAAATGGCCGGAGTCCTAACCCACCCCAAACCCTAAATCGGGAAATTGGGGCCGCAGCTCACATCGAGAGAGCACCGGAAGCCGCCACAGCGGAGATATCGGAGGAGAGCCAAACATCCGCCACTCTAGCCCGATACCAGAGGAAGGTAACCGGAGGACGGCACCAGCTACTCCCCGGCAAAAAAGCCCCTTCCAGCGGCACATCTCACTGTTGCGAGCTGCGGGGCCCAGAAGAACCACCGACGTGCTCTCGACGTGCCCTACCGGGGAAGGCGGCGAACAATTTCAGAGAAAGAGACTGGAAGAGGGCGACGGGGAAGAAGGCTAGTTGGTAAGGCGACGAGAGGAAAATGGCTAATCACTTTTCTTGTTGTCTAGTTCAAAATCATAAGAATGGGACCATAAGGAGTTAGACTTGGACATTTCAATTTAAATTTGTACAGCATATAAAAGACTGAAAAACACACATTATCACCAAAGGAAAGCCCCTAAACATACTCCTAACCATTTTAAATAATTTAAGCAAAACCTGACCAGAAATCGAATTAAATCATTTAAAATAGCTATAGTTAGAATTTAAATTTGAAAATTTTAAAGTAGCAAGATATCATGCAGAAAATCAACATATCCAAAAAATTAGCCATTTAGGACGAGAACTCGATTTTATATGAATTTATTACGAAACAACCCATAAACGGTTTTTGAGTTTTGACAAGGCTACAGGCCATATAAGAATCTCAAATTTTAACCTGAAGTAATATAACAACAATATAACCACCTATCCAAAAATCAGAATTTTTTGAGCAATACACGAATTATAGTGATTTTAGCAAAAATGGGCTGCAACACTTTTAGCAAAAACGGGCTGCAGCATGATTTTTCAAAAATTCATATCTTACAATATACATATCGAAACGACACAAGGCCAAAGCCATTGTGTCAAGGACATTCCTAAGTCCAATAATCCTTAGTACTTCCACGGAAAATACTACATCAACCTCAATTCGACAATTTTTCAAATCGGCAATCACTTAGATATTCAAATGGCAATTATATATTAATAATCACACAAGTACATAGCTAAGGCACGCAATTAACTCGAAACTCACAGGATCAGCAATATAACACGCATACGAGCACCTAAACACATATAGGAGCAAAAGAAATAAGTCAAGAGTTAGTTCGGGTACTGTTCTCGGGATGGGGTCGCGAAAAAGGGTCGAACCGGGGCTAATATGCGCGCTCGGCAACAAGACGTGGCTCGCGCGACGGGAGAAGGTCTTGGGACAGCAATGTGGGGCTAAAACAGCTATACGTGCACTCCGATGGGACTCGACGGTTACGTTTGGCACTCCGACGGAACCCAACGGGACTCAATGTGTAACACCCCACCTTACTAGATAAATCAGAGTTGCGCATTTATTCGCAAAGTCTTTGAAAACTAAAACATTTTTACTTTGAGAAACTGATTTGGGGTGCTACCGTGAAAAATCTTTACTTAACTTTAGAAAAACCGTTGTTTTTAACTTATTAAAACGTCCGGTTATTGAAAAAACTGCTTTTTCTGAACAGTACGTCAAACTATAATAAGTTTATCAAAATATGATAAAACCGTCAAAATCATCAAAGCATCGTCAAAAGATC